GGAATTTGTCATCACTTTACACATAATAAGCAAGTGACAGTCTTGGTTTATATGTAAGTACTCTTTTTTTAAATAAAAAATTATGATTGGTTCTAAGATGGAATATTTCAAAGAAAACTTCACATTTTTTTTCCAAGAAACAAACTTTTACACGTTTTTAAAGATTCTTTTTTAAAGCTAATGATTTCTAGACTTACTTCCCTGACTTTGTTAACTAGATTACTTATTAGCACTGTACTTTTTTTCATCCTTTGATTTAACTGGAAAACTCTCATCATTCACTATTCAGGCTCTGATAGAGCATCAACTTTTCTGTGAAATTGTTCTCAACAAACTCTTTCCACCATGTTTTATTTTTGCTTTATATCTATTTCTGTTATTTCAAATGGAATCACATTGTATAGTATTGGTTTCCCTGTCTATTCTCCTTCACTGCTATTCATAAGGACTTGATGGCACTTAACAGCAACCACTCTCCTTCACCATTGTAACTCTCTACAATGTGGAGATGATGTTTTGTCTTTGGATCTTAACAGGCAGAAGACGCTGAAGAAACACTTACAGAATAGCATGAATGAAATTCTGTAATTTCTACATAAATATACCACTTGTACCACCCTCTACTGAAGTCTTTCCTAATTCAAATAAGATATCAGACTTATAAAAAAAAAAAAAAAAGGTTGAAATTTGATGCTTACTTTTGGTGTTCTGCAAGTTAAAGTATTCAAATTCCCTTCAACCACATTGCAGGTTTCATTTCCAACTAATACCTTTGAATTTTCATTAAATCCAAATCCAGATAGAGTCAGCACAGTACCACCTTCACAAAAAAATAAAACAAAACAAAAAAACAGATCAACTATAACAAAAGAAATTTGTTGGTAAGAACCTAACTTATTATTCAAGAACTATCCAGTTATCCAAGAGATGGATTGGCTAATAGATCAAGAATGAAACTCACAGGAGTTAGCTATTGTCCAATCACCGCCACACACCAGGCCTAAACACTGAAGCCTGGAACCATAAAGGTGCTGGACAAAGTGATTTTATGAAATAACAATACTGTAATTACCATTGCTTTAAGGTATTACTACCCTGCTACTGTTTTTCATGGTAACTTCTTCATCCTACAGAGAAATTAAGCTGTTTCTGTTTGCTCAACTGTCCATGGGTGGGAAATGTTGATGAATTAAGACTCTCACAAAACTCAGATTTTAAACCTCTCAATAAGGAAAATAAAATAAATAAATAAATAAATAAATAAACACACAAATTACAAAACTGGCTCAAATCCAAAGCATAAAATCTAAAACCAAGCATGGTCCACACACACACACACACACACACACACACACACAGAGGAAATGAAGCAGAACAGGAAAAAATGTGTTATTTTCTTTTGTCCTCTACGTCAACCTTCCTTTCTCTGATTTGTTCCCAGAACTTTTTCTGGGTCAAGTTGTTCCACTGAGACCATGGTTACAAATGGAGCAGCTGGTAAGCAGAAGAATAACTAATAAATCTTATCTTGACATAATTGATGAGCTTGTTATAGAAACATGTAATAATTGATGATATTAATTCAATAACCTAAGATGTAAATATAAGCAGTGACCCTGACTTGCACTTCATAAGAAACAAAACAGTTACTCAGCCATTTAATCACTGTGCCTTCTAAAAGGGTACTCTCCTTTGTTCTGTAGGAGGGAGATTTAGCTTCTCCTCCTCTCACCTCTTCTACACACAGCACAACTGGAAGCTCGTGTAATTTTCTTTGTTTAGCATGTTAACTCTTACCTGCTAGGCTTCCAGAAGCAGGCCAGACATGTAAGATCTGACTCTGATAGGTGAAGTGCAATACCTCACCCCCCACATTCTGTGCTAGGCCAACATCAGCGACGGACACGGCAACTGGGAAATGCCCAGCGCTCCCGTGCAGAATCTGGCATCTGATCTGGTTTTCTTGTGATAAAAAAAGAAAAAAACAATAAAGCAAATATTTTTGTCAGACAAAATTACTGAAAATTTATATTTGAAAATACTGACATTGGGCTTCATTTTTATACTCAAGAAACATATCTAAGAACAATCATATATTAATTGAGGAAAAATGCCTGTATAAACTACTGATGGTATGACTCAGATCCTCTGAGAAAACAGGTCAAACCAATAATGAAGGAAAATAAACAATTTCCTTCTGGTTGCTACTGTGTCCTGGTCAAAGGCTACTGTGATAGTACTCATACTCCTAAATTGTAAAGTCATTTATAGTAATAATTCTTAGATTTTTGTCCAGTATATCATTTATAGGAGTTCTGGTAGCATAGTGCCTAAGGCACTTGACTGCTAAGCAGAGGGCTGGCAGTTCAAACCCACCAGCCATTCCTTGGAAGAAAGGTTGGGTAATCTACTTCCGTAGTGATATCACCTTGGAAACCCAAGGAGGGGTCGCTATGAGTTGGGTCTGACTCAATGGCACATAACAACAATATCATTTACATCTAAATGTGGTATTGTCAAAGCATGGGCAGAGGGGATCATAGAAGAGCAGAGCAGTAATTCATATATTCATATGTTCAAAAGTGACATCCGAGAAAGCACTCCTGCAATTACGTTTATGAGGCAAGAAAAATTAATAAAATTCCACTGCTATGGGATAGTGATTCAACAGTGAAAGAACTAGTCTGTGGTTGTAACCAAAATTGAAAAATTAAGTCATTTATCCAGATCAGTTTACCAATTTCATAACTTCACAGAGTACTCCTTACAATAATCAGAATTGTAATGCCATTCTTTTTTAGTCTCCTTTCTCTTAGAGAAGAAGAATATAATAATTTTTAAGAAGACTTACCATCCACAGAAAGAAGAGAGCAACCTACTGGTCCAACTGAGACTGATACAGCTGAACTAGGGAAAAATCCAGAGCCTGATATGGTTAGAATTGTGTTTTCTTCATAGGACCCTGAAAATGATAGATTTCAACAACAATAGTAAAATGACAAAAATAATAGAATCCGTTGTTAGGAAATCAAATATTTCTTAGAGAAGATACAAGATATATATAATATCTTCTAAAAGATATAAACAATACATCTATAAGCAAGCTGGGGGTAGGGCCAAAGACACACTCATTTGGCTATGCTATTTTTTTCCATTTAGTTACTCTACATTGCTTCATATTTAGTATCTGACTGTCATCAGATATCAGTGGAAATAATTATCTGATTGAAAGCACAAAGAAATTAAATGTTGTCGTTGTTGTTGTTGTTATGCGCCTTTCCGACTCATAGAGACCCCTCCTTGGGTTTCAGAGGCAGTGTCATTACAGAAGGAGATTGCCCCATCTTTCTTGTGAGGAGTGGCGGGTGGGTTTGAACCACCAACCTTCTGGTTAGCAGTCAGGTGCCTTAGGCACTATGCCAAATAGAGACCTCTATTTGGGAGCTTGGGAGCTCTGGTGGGGTCATGCCTAAGACACTTGATGGCTAATCAGAAGGCTGGCGGTTCAAACCCACCAGCCATTCCTCGGAAAGGAAGATTGGGTAATCTATTTCTGTAGAGATACTGCCTCTGAAACCCAAGGAGGGGTTGCTATGAGTCGGAAATGACTCCACAGCAGTGAGTAAGTATATGGGAGCTTGGTACATGATAGACTTGCCATCACCAACCCATGAGGAAAAGATAAGCTGTACAATGATTCTGGGGACACTTTCCATTTGAAAAGAAATAAGATTCCTCTATTGGGCAATTTACTTCCATAGTGATATTGCCTTGGAAACCCAAGGAGGGGTTGCTATGAGTTGGGTCAGACTCCAGGGCACATAACAACAACAACAATCCTGGGTAATATACATTCTAAAGTGCCTGAGATATTTCCAGTACATGACTGTTGTCCTACTATCTAACACTGAATTTCCTTCCATTCACTCTTAAATGTGTCCAGGTTTGATAGATAAATTATATGACCACCCTACTTACATGATGCCATACCCAAAACTGATTCTACATGGATTTAAATAGTTAAGAATTAAAAAAGAAATCTAAAATTTTAGAATATAGTAAAAAATCTTAATGACTTTGGGGTGAGATAGATTTCTGAAACAAGATACAAAAAGCCATGGTTAATCATAAAAAAAAGATAAATTAGAACAAACCATTATTTTAATTGTCTCCATGCACAAGACACAAGTGATATACTGAGAGAAGATATATACAAAGAGTTGTTAAACAGAATATGTAATAAAGAATTATAAGTCAATAGAAAAAGACTATCCAATAAAAAATGGATAAAGATGTTTACAAGCAATTTTCTGATGAAGAAATAATCTGAAAGGCCAATAACATTTGAGAAGATGCTAACATGCATTGCTAATAAAAGAAAGGGAATTAAAACAGTGATGAGATAACTTTATTCACCCCTTATATTGGCCAAAAATGTTGTTGTTGTTGTTGTTGTTATGTGCCGTCGAGTCAGCCCTGACTCATAGCGACCCCTCCTTGGGTTTCCGAGGCAGTATCACTACGGAAGTAGGATTGCCCAACCTTCCTTCAGAGGAGTGGCTAGTGGGTTTGAACCGCCAGCCTGCTGGTTAGCAGTCAAGTGCCTTAGCCACTACGCTAAATAGGATATTGATAATAGCTGATACTGGCAAGGACGTCGGGAATGTGGTGCTCTCATACATGCTATTGTAAGTAACTTTAGATGCATTCTAGTAAACTGAATATGTATATTATTCTACAGAAATTCAACAACTAGCTATATACCCTAAAGAATTCTAGTATGTATACAATTGGAGAGATGTACAACAAAGCCCAATAAGGTCCTATTTGTAAAGTCAAAATATTGGAAGCAATCTAAATGTCTGTCAACACAGAAACAAATAAATGAAGATCAGTATATTCATGAAAGGAGCTCTGGTGGCATAGTGCCTAAGGCACTTGACTGCTAACCAGAAGGCTGGCAGTTCAAACCCACCAGCCACTCCTCAGAAGGAAGGTTGGGCAATCTACATCCACAGTGATGCCACCTTGGAAACCCAAGGAGGGGTCGCTATGAGTCAGGTCTGACTTGACGGCACATAACAACAACAGCAACATATTCATGAAATAGTTTAAAAGGATGAATTAAATGTACATAAACCCACATAGCTATATCCCAAAATGAATGCTGAATGACAAAAATAAGATATAGAAGGATATTTACATTGTAATGTCTCATTTGCAAACTTGAAAAATAACTGGAAAAATTATCATATAGTGGTGTGCTCTATACAAAAGATTTTTAAAATGGCAAGGAAGAATACAAAGAAATTAATGGTTGTGATTACCTCTGGGGAGGTTTCTACAGGACTAGAATGCAGATGGTACTTAAAGGTGAATTTAGAAGTTTCTATAATATTTTTCTTAAATTTTCCATCAAAAGTAAATATGGCAAAATGTTAACAACTATTAATTTTCAGTGAAAGAAATATGTGTGGTTTTATAATATTCTTTTTACTCATCTCTTCATTACTTTTATATTTATCAAAATGTAGGAAAAGGCTATCCAGTTTGTTAATGTTTTAGAATAAGAAATAATTCTTTTCAAGTAGTGCATGTAAAAATTAAATTCACTATAAAATATAACTATATATTCCAAATATATGCATAAATAAGGATAATACCAAAACTATAACTAAAAGTACAAAAAATCCTTCAAGGTTTGGCCTCATGTAACAGGAATTATCCAAAAGTTAGTATACCTACTCCTCACTTATCAACATATTTAGGTTCCAAAGACTAGGTTGTTATGTGAAAATCAGTATTGTGTGAAATGGAGAATAACCACATCAGATCACAAAATGGAGGATTACTACATCATCACATAACTGCCAAATTATATCATTATATAACTACCAAATGATATCATTACATAACTGCCAAACCATTGAGAACCATGGCCCAGCCAAGTGGTTACATAACCTTAAGCATCACAGTTAGCATTACTCTTGCCTCACACTTCAGCATTCATTACCCTCAGATGTATGGCATTAATGTGCAAAATAGTCAGATATTGGATTTTTTACTATTGTAAATACAAAATATTAGACAATGATATAGTTAGTAAGTGAGAGATAGGTGTACTATTGTTAAAAAAGTTTTATGAAATTTATGCATTAACTTCAAAATTTTGATGTATATTATTTTTCATTGATATAAAATTACCAGGAAATTTTTCCTGCTAGCCTTTAAGACTATTTATTGTTTTCAAAAATAAATAGTGTTCTTTCCATAGCTTCCAATCTAATCTACTATTTTTCACTTTGTAGATTGGTCAGTTTGTCATAGTTGTGGTAATAGTACATAAAATATCATGATCAGAGATTTTGCAAGTTCTCTTCCACTCCATACTCCAAGTTGAAAAGCAAGAGGTTACCTTGAAAAGGGTTTATGGCCAAGACTCGGGGAGTAGTCATGGGATCCCATGTAAATCCACAGGCACCTGAACATTTAGCTGGAATTCCATTGACGTAGACTTCAACCTTAAAATAAAGAAACACAGAGCTAATGAATAGGGGTAAAGAGGTAGCATGGTTACGTAGAATATGTGTAGCATTTAGAACAAAATGGTGACATTTGATTGCTTTATAAAAGCTAGTATATTCTATTTTTTCTGATTTGACCCTTCCTCGTTCATTCATTCACCAAATGTGCCCATTTCTTTCAGGTACAGTTGTAAATGGTGGGGACACAAGAAGTCAGATGATGTCATCCCTGCTGTCACTCAATTTATAGTCCAGTGAGGTGGAATACAGAGGTGCATTACATTATAAATAAACAAACAAGTGTCATAGAGTAAAATTCTGACTCTGTTAAGGATTATAATAGATTTATTGACTGCAAGAAAAGTTCAATAAATCTATTTTAATTCTTAACAAAATCAGAATTTTACTGTACAACACTTTTGGTGTCAGACACGTGAGATTCGAAGGTGCACCATGGGTGGCAGACTCCAGAGGTCTGAGGAATCAAGCACTGGTCTAGCATGGGCCCTTTGATGCTCTCTGCTTCCACAGATCTCTGGGAACCCCAGATGAGTGATCTATCTCTTGCAGCAAAGTCCACTTCTTTGCATTGAGTGTTTTCTTGAGATTTATGGCTGGCATTTGTTTGTGTTTTCTGTTTTGTAGTTTCATTTTTCAGTTAACTCTAGGAATGTTTTGACAGGTTCCAATTTGTAGAGGGAGGTGACAGCTCCCACCTGTCTTATACTTTGATCTTGCAACATGGTTTTACCTGACTAGGGACAATTTAGTGGCCACTTTGAGGATCTATAGAACTTTCTACTCTTGTTTTCTGGTTAGTTTATTATTTATTTATTTATTTATTTATTTATTTTTTGCTAGCGCATGAAGTTTAATAATTCTTCCAAGTATGCATATTTTAATTAGTTTCTTTGTCTGTTTTTGAGCAAATTAAAACTAATTAAACAAAAGTGGTAGAACTTTTTTTTCTATTAAATTAGGTCAATCTTATGAAATAATTGCTGTATACATTTTAAGAAACTGGTTTGCCCATATGTTTATGTTATTTGGTATTATATAAGCTTTGTTTTTAAGCTGGCCTTACAGAACAAGGCTGTTGTATGACTTTTCTGTTTCATTTTGTTCTGAAAGCTCACTATGCTTAAGCATCCATTTTTATATCAAGTTGAAGGCCAAGGCTGTTTTTTTTGTTGTTGTTTTGTCTTTTTTTAAAATTTGTTTCATTTTTGTTTATTTTTTTCCCAAAGGATCAGCCAATATTTCAGTTCTTTTCTCTTCCAAGAAAAACTGCTTCTTACATCTGGGTTTACTGGTAGCCAGATTGAGAAAATTTGATATAAATTTGAAAAGTCTATTTGAAAAGTACACTGAAAATGATAAATAGTTTATTAAGCAAAACACTATGAAAGAAGAACAGAATAGGTGGCCTCACACTCCCTGATCTCAAATTTCACTATATAGCCGCAGTAGTCAAAACAGCCTGGTATTGGTCAATGACAGACACATGGACCAATGGAACAGAATTGAGAACCCAGGAGTAAAACCATCCACCTATGCATAGCTGATCATTGACAAAGGGCCTAAAGCCATTAAATGGGGGAAGAGATAGTCTCTTTAACAAATGATGCTGGCAAAACTGGATATCCACTTACAGAAAAATGAAACAGGATCCACATCTCACACCATATACAAAAATTAACTCTAGAAGATCAAAGGCCTAAAGGTAAAAATTCAAACCATAAAGAGCATCAAAGACAAAATAAGGGCAAACTTAGGGGCCCAAATACATGGCATAAATATACTATCACATAGAACTAAAAATATACAAACAGCAGAAGGCAAACTAGATGACTGGGACCTTCTAAAAATTAAACATTTATGTGCATTAAAAGACTGTTAAAAGACTTAAAAGAGAAACTACAGACTGTGAAAAAAAATTGGCAACAATATATTGGATAGAGGTCTAATTTCCAAAATTTACAGAAAATTTCAACACCTCAACAACAACAACAAAAAGACAAGCAATCCAATTAAAAAATGGGCAGAGGACATGAACCGACACTTCACCAAAGAAGGCATTCAGGCAGCCAACAAATATAAAGGAATGCTTGCAATCATTAACCATTAGAGAGATACAAATCAAAACAACAATGAGATATCACCCCAGCATTAATTACAAAGTTAAAAAGGAAAAAAAAAAAAAATGCTGGCAAGGGTGTGGAAAGGCTGGAAAACTCATACACTGCTGGTGAGATTGTAAAATAGTACAACCACTGTGGAAAGTTGTACAGTGTTTCCTTAAGAAGTTGGAAACAGAAATACTATATAATCCACTAATCCCACTACTAGGTATATCTCCTAGAGAAATAAGAGTCATGACACAAATAGATATATGCAAACACATGTTGCTCATCACTGTATTGGTCACAATATCAAAAAGATGCCTTTTAAAGGATGAATGGATAAACAAAGTATGGTACATATACACAATGGAACACTACTCAGTATTAAAGAATAATGACTGATCTGTGAAACACCTCATAACATGGATAAACATAGAGGACATTATGTTGAGTAAAATTAGTTAATCACAAATGACAAATATTATATGAGACCACTACTATAAAAAGTTAAGAAAAGGTTTATACACAGAAAGGATTGTTCTTTGAAGATTGCCAGGAATGGGATGTAAGGGAGGGACAATTACCCTAGAGGGTAGATACGTACTAACTTGGATGAAGGGAAAGCCAATATCCAATAAGGGGGAAGTCAGCACAAAATGGTCAAGGCAGGGGAAAACATAGGGAGGAGCACAAGAGTTAAAAGCAACAAAGGTGAAAACTTTTACACACACAATCATGCAATAATCATAGTAACAATAATTTATTAGTGGATGCATAAATAGACACTCAGTCTGAACAAGGGTGGGAAGGTAAATGAGACTACACCCCTAAATACATATGTTTTACAGAGGCTACCTCTATGTATATATTTATATATGCTGCAGATATATCGATCAATGGAGTAGAGCATACTGGGGATAAAGTTATGAAAATGTCTTAGTCATAACCTAACACCTAGAGGGAATGATGCACTGGGTATGAAGGCTCAGGACCATAGTCTCAGGGGATACCAAGGTCAATTGGCATAACATAGTCCACCAAGGCAATGTTCTACATCCTGCTTTGTTGTGTAGTAACTGGGTCTTAAAAACTTGTGAGTGGCCATCTAAGGTGCAATTATTGTTCTCTCCCCACTGGAAGTAAAGAAGAGTGAAGAAAATCAAAGACACTGGAAGCAATGAGCCCAAAAACTAATGGAGCACATGAACCCCAGCCTCCATGACCCTGAGACCAGAAGAACTAGATGGTGCCCAGCTACCACTGCTGACCACTCTGAAAGGGATCAGAAGAAGTCCCAGAAAGAGTGGAGGAAAATGTGGAACAAAACTCAAAATCATAAACAAAAACCAGGCTAATTTGCACAGGTAGTCAGCTCAGGGGGCAGAAATGTATAGGAAAAAAGGACACAGGGAAGACATAACTACTGGGAGGGATGGGAAGAGAGCTGTTACATTGTGGGGATTGTAGTCAATGTTATAAAACAAAATGTGTATGAACTGCTATATGGAAAATGAATATTCTCTGTAAACTTTCACCCAAATCACAATTAAAAAAAAAAAAAAAAGATCAGACTTATTGGTCTGATGAAGGCTGGCAGAATCCCCAAGAGTACGCCACTCACACACCTTTCAAGCTAGGAAGTGAACTTAACCTCTGTGACTCAACTGGCAACCAAACAATAGACAGGCCTTTAAGGTGAACAGTAATAGGAGGGTATGCACTCACTATAGCAGTAAAGCCTATAAGATTAGGGATAGAGCTAGGAAGGTGGGAGGGGGTGGGAGAATAAAGGGAAGAGGAAGGGGTGGGCATAGGAAGGAAGTGAGAAGAATGCTGTTATAGTGTGGGAATTGCAGTAAATGTCACAAAATAGAATGTGTGTGGATTGGTAGATGGAAAACCAATTTGCTCTGTAAACTTTCACCCAAATCACAATTTAAAAAATTGAAAAATGGTTATAGATAAAAAAAAAACCTAAAAAAACGGTTATACTGTAAAAAATATGTAACAAAGACAGGAAACTTGACAGGTTTATTAAAAAGGAATTTATTTAATATGGCTAAAATTATGATAGGTTAATTTATAAGAATTTTTAAAGACTTTAATGTCAAATAACATGTGAAACAAAGAATTAAATTTATCGCTGTTAAGAAAACAAAATTTTCTTTGATTACCAGGTTAAAGAGTTAATTTTGTTCTTAGTTCAATCTGCCTTGAAGGCAAGAGTTCAACAAAATAAACCCCTGAATCTAAAAAGCTATTAAATATGTTAAACCCCAATAAAGTCTGCTTAATTTTGATGGTCTTAATTCCTTAGTTTACTGTTTATTCTATGTAATCTGCCTAGGAAGCAAAGTTCTATGTCTCTAAATTTATGTTAACCTTTATGTCTTTAGCTAAGAAACCAAGACATTTGGCTTTGGAAGAAACTAAGATTTTTACCTTTAAAACCTTTGGTTAAATAACTCAAGTATTGCTCTTCATTGATCTATAATAAACTCCTGACAATTCTGAAATTTTAAAAGAAGGCCATAAAAGGTTTCTTTCTGTTTTATGCAAGGAAAAGTACTAAAAAGATTTATTTAATATGTTATAAATTACATGAAACATATTGTTAAATCAGAAGAGGTACCAAGTTTCCTAAGTTAAAATGTATATATCGGTAATACTTACCTAACACTAACACATAAAGTTATGTTATGATTTTATTATTTCAATTGCTAACTTGGTTGCAATTTTACTTCTTTTGAATCTAGCATCATCAAGGCCAATGATTTAATTAGGGAAATTCATACTGTTTACCCAATGAGTCTTTTATATTACTATTCAAATGTTTAAAACCAAAACCAAACCCACTGTCATCAAGTCAAATTCTAACTCACAGCGACCCTTTAGTACAGAGCAGAACTGCTTGATAGGATTTCCAAGGCTGTCAGTCTTTACAGAAGCAGACTGGAAACTTGGTAATTTTAGTATTCCTGATATATCTTGATTATTAGCATTATATCTCAAGATTATTATTTGTTCCATCTGTAGCCTGAATCACAAGCTTTACTTGAATTCCTTCCAGGTGACTTTATCTCAGTTAAAGAAAGCCAAGGGACCAACTTGGCCTTGCAAGCCTGCTGGACACCTTAACGCCAGTCTCGCTGCCACTGATTCTATTCCAACTCATAGTGACCCTCATAGTATTTCCAAGGCCATACATCTTTACAGAGGCAGACTGCCTCATCTTTCTTTTGCAGAGAGGCTGGTGGGTTCAAACCACCAACTTTTCAATTAGCAGCCAAATGCCTTAACCACTGCACCACTAGAGCTCCTACTGGGCACCTTGAGGTAACCCATAAACATGCCCAGGGTCCAAGGTAGATGATGCCAGGAGTAGATGGCTGATCCAAAAACATGGAAAAAAAACACATACATACTCTTGGAGTTATTGTACTCTGATTGGAACAGGTTGTTTTATACTCATTGCCTTTGAAATTGCATTATTTTATTAATTTAGAATCATCAGTTGGTAAGAATAACTCATGCAAATTACTTATATAAATGTGTTAGTCTTTGATTTTATTATTATTGCCATTCTTATGTTGATAGTTGTATTACACTTTATATTCATTTAGTCCTATGCAATTCTTAAGATAACTGCACTTTACTTACTATTGCTTTGCATTTGAAACTGCTTTGTTTTGTTTAAGCTTTATTCTCTAATGGTATTTTACTCCTCCATGCAAATAATTCAGAGAACCTATTTTGTTATAGCACTTATTTTTTGTGATATTTACTTTATTTCCTTCCACTGTAAAGCTTTTATTTCTTTCTTTTTACCACTTTCTCTAATACCCATTAGCACTTAGAGAGAGAATGGCCTTATTAAGTTAGCACAATCAGCAGCTAATACTAGTAAATTGACAAACTGCTGGATATGTCACTCCTCTCTGCAGTCCATGCAAAATCATTCTGACCCCTCTGGTACCCCAGTTTTTAATTATAGATATATACCCAATGCGATCCTAAAATTTGAAAGATCTCTTAAAAGAGACATATGTGTATGATTTTGGTAAAACCTTAATACTTCAAATGTCGCCTGTGTTGATAACACCCGATATTATTCCAGATTGACTGTCAACTGTATTACAAATGATCAAGCCCTGCCAATACCGGCCTGGATGGAGTTGGTCTTGTCTTTGCGCTTTGGGCCCCACATCTGGTGTACTGCAATTACAAAAATTCATTTGTAACCTGTCAGCTACCAGGGCCCATTTGCTGACAGTGTCAGTGAGAGGATGACATACCAACAGAACTCTTTAGAAACTTCAGCCCGACTGGTTTTAGACAATAAAATAGATTTTCTCCTTGCTCAACAAGGAGGAATCTATGTGATTGTTAGTATCTCCCACTTTCTTGAATGAATACCTCTAAAGAAGCTAAACAAGACCTCACAAAGATCTGGCAGGCAGCTACCTGGTTACACTAAATACTTCCCATGACTGTTCTCTCTTTGATATCTTTAGCTGATTGCCAAATGGCACTGAATCATAGATTAAATCTATACAACTCACTAGATTAATGATTCTTCTTTTTAATTTTATTATTGTAAGTATAATTAAATATTGCCTAAGTTATATATCAAATGCTTTCACCTGTAACACGATTATGAAAAGAATTGTGTATATTAAAAAAGTCCTATATTTTCAAATAGAGTAGACTTCATGCCCTAAAGGGACTTTTATAGTTATGTCAAGTTGTTTCTCTGATTTTTCCCAGTATAAAACCCCAACAAAAGCAAAGCTGTAACATCTTGTCTTTGCTGAAGAAGTGTTACTCCTCCCTGAATGTCTAAGGCCAGAATGATCATTGTTGCAGTGGCTGCAACAATGTGCTTAAACATCATGGTGGTCGTGAGGATGTCAGAGGACTGAGCAACATTTTACTATGAGTCCGACTCCACTTGACATCACCTAACAGCAGTAATAAGACCATAAAATTAGCTGGCCTCATGCTGTGATGATGAGACCCTCAGCTAATGCAAGGTGAAGAGGATATATAATCTCCAATAGTTATCACAGAATCTTCACAGACGTTCTTGATCAAAAGCAAGGAATGATATGGGGAACCCTAAAATTTAAATCTCTGGAGCATTTGCCTTGACTAAAGGATGTCTGACTCTGTGCCTCAATTTAAACCCCATTTTGAAAAGGCATGATTTACTCTAAGAAGTTAAACTTTAAACAGTTAATCTAACATCTAAGAAAAGTTTTTCTTGTAATCAAGCAATACAAGCCATTCCCACGAACTACATTGTACAAGAAAGCTATGTTAGCAGAAACTAATGTCCTATGACATTATTCAGCTTCTTTAGCTATCACTTAGCGTTTTTACAGGTGTTCACCCAAGAACAGCAGGAGATACTAACAATGGCATAGATGCCTCCTTTCTCAGCCAGGAGAAAATCTAGTTTTTGGTTTCCACCCTGTGAATCCCCTGTGGTCACCAAGTAATAGCTAATCAATAAAGCCAACATATCAGCAAGCAGTAACAAACCAACAGAGTACCTGTATCACTAAGTAATAACTAATCAACAAAGATTCTCTAAACCCATCACTGTAAAGCCCCCACTTGTGTTAATTTGCCTTTGATTTTTACAAATCATTAGTATGCCAATTAGAACACTATGCTGTTACTTCCTAGTTTAACAATATAAATATTGCCTAGATGCCTGTAACTCCTTGGAAAGCATGGCTCACTTTGCAGACTCCGCTTGTACCAGTTTGAACTATGTCTTGCCTTCACGAAATCTCTCTATTTTAATCCTTAACAGAGTCAGAATTTTACTCTATAACAGAAGTAAGTGTGTATTATGTCTGGTAGTGATTAGTACCAAGAGGAAAAGTAAAGATTGTTTTAGGGCAAGTCACTTAAACTCTCTGTACTTTAATTCCCTCATCATCAAAATAGTAACCTTAATAATCACTTCATAGAGCTACTGCTAACATTAAGCAAAAGAATATATTTTCAAATTCTAATAGGCAGGAGAATTTTAAAATCCATTCTTTTGTCATAAGGATCCCCAAATTCATAAAATAGTATTATTGAGTTGATCAACTATTAACACAAATAAAGATGTCACACCTCCAATTTCACTAGGTCTTTAATGTATTACAAACTAATTATACATTTAAAATTCAGTTAAATGTCATGAAAAAATAGATTCAGAAATACCTGTGGCTGTTGGCTGGGTGTACGAAGTAGGTCTCCAAGAATGCGTTGTCTGAATAAGCCACCTTCCTTTATCCTTGCAACTGTCATATTAGCCTTTTCTCCAGCAATGTTGGAATCATTAACCTATTTTTACACAAAATTACTTTATCAGAAAGATTATGACAAATATAACCATAGTAGTTTTTACTATTAAATTTAAACATGCTTGAGAGTGAACATAAGCTAAAGGATATAAGCAAAAACATTCAAAACCACTGTCACATTTATTGAAAAAAGAATCTTTTAAAATGAGCAAAATCTATCCAAGGAAAAAATACTAGTGATAGAGATACCATTATGATATCATGCATTGTGTTAATTATGACTTTGAGTTAAGTGGTAATGCTGACTTTAATTTTAAGAATTAATTAATAAATTGTGTTTAAAGAAAATGAATTTACTAAATTTTATTTTCTTAAAAAAATTCTATGCTTTCTCTAAATATGACCACCTTGATAAATAATTGTTAAATAAAAATAATAATGAAGAATTGAGCTAGCTTTCTACCTGAGATTCAATTTTTTCCATTTGGCATTTTTTCACCTGAGACCACCCTAGTTGACTATCCTACCACTCTTGAAATTATATTTCCTTCCAATGGTTAAAAAAAAAATCAGATCAACATGTACCATTTAGTCATTTCAGATTCCTCTGCTGATATGGTAGCCTTCTGATGTAGTCAAGGGCTAGCAAAGAAATGGGAATCTCATGCTGGGGCCTGCTTGAGCCAGTGATGAGGGAATAGAAATGATGAGTAAGAGGATCCTGGTCAGAAGAGAGAGAAAAGGAGATGCCTAGACAGCGGTAGAGATGCCAAGAAGGAGAAGAGTCACTAAAGCTGTCTCAGTTCCAGAAATTTCCAATTCAGGTTCCAGGCCATGCGTTTTCATAAAAGAATCCCATGATTTTTGACTATTTTGCATATCCATACAGACTTGCTTTCTCTATTTACATACCAGTTTTTGTTTCTTTCTCTCCCTCCTCCTTGCTTTTTTGTTTGTTTGTTTCAAAAATGATTTCATAAGTAAAGTTTTGCTTTTTTTTCCCCCTTAGTGTCTAAGGCATTTGACTGCAAACCAGAAGGCTGGAGGTTCTAACCTGCCAGCCACTCCTCAGAAGGAAGGTTGGGCAATCTACTTCCGTAGTGATGCTGCCTCGGAACCCAAAGAAGGGGTCACTATGAGTTGGATCTGACTCCACGACAGTGGTTGTATTTACATTTTTTATGTCATGAGCATGAGTATAGATGGGTCTATAATGGTTGCACAGTATTAGTCCTAAAGTTGTGTCACACAACCATTTCCATACTAATGAGGACTTAAGTTCACAGGTTTTTATTATTACAAATAATAGTGCAGTGACTATATAATTTCACATTTCTATTATTTTAGTAGGATAGAATTATATAACTGAGATTGCTGAGTCATAGGGTATCTATATACAGAAACTACTAAATTATCCCTCAGGAAAATTGTACTAATTGACTTTCTCACCAGTAGTTCATGTTGCTGTTGTTATTATGTGCGTCGAGTCAGATCCAACTCATAGCGACCCCTCCTTGGGTTTCCGAGGCAGTATACTATGGAAGTAGATTGCCCCATCTTCCTTCCGAGGAGTGGCTGGTGGGTTTGAACTGCCAGCCTTCTGGTTAGCAGTCAAGTGCCTTAGGCACTACACTACCAGAGCTCCTACTAACAGTCCATGTTGTTGTTGTTGTGTGCCGTGGAGTCGGCCCCGACTCACAGCGACCCCTCCTTGGGTTTCCGAGGCAGTATACTATGGAAGTAGATTGCCCCATCTTCCTTCCGAGGAGTGGCTAGTGGGTTTGAACCGCCAGCCTTCTGGTTAGCAGTCAAGTGCCTTAGGCACTATGCTATCAGAGATCCCCCAATAGTTCATAAGAGAGACTATTTCCTCAGTCTTTTCTAAATTCCCCTGCATCAAACACTGTGGGCCCTAATTCTCTTCCCCCACTCCTTTCCACATTCTAACAAAGCAAAAGTAAGGTAATTCAATGAGAGTATAAGGCATGACTCCTTGGGAACTTAAAAATTATTCATAATTCCCAAATACAGCTCTTCTGATATAATTATAGAGAGTGAGGCTGAGTTTGCTTGGTCTCCTCCTTTAAATACATCCAGATTTAGTTCTGAAACTGCTTTATTGACCCTTCTCTCATTAAGGATCCCCTAACACTCATATTCCTGAACTTTACCCGTATGGAATAGAGAATAAAGTACCAACACCTATTCTCCCTGAAAGAGAACACCTGGTCAACTTAGTTTAGAACAATCTTCTCGATTTCCTCTTCTATTTTTTATCTGTAGTTTGCATTATACATATATGTATATATGGTCTCAAATTCTCTTTGTAATGAGACAGGTCCAAATAAGCAAATAGGACGTTGAAGGAAACCAAGTAGACCAAGTAAGTGCACCTGTAGAATATTCTGCTTTCCACCCACACTTCTCCACTTGATGTTCCATGAGTATCCAGCACAGGTTCCCTCTCGAGTAACTGACACTTGTCCCGCTTCTCCCAGACTCTGGAGAGCGAACTGTAAATCTGCAGCTGACACAGTGGCAGGGAGGCCTGCAATCACAGAGGAAAGTGGAGGAGTCAAACTTTCACAAACCAATTCCACCTTTTGTTGTTGTGTTGTTGTTATGCGCCCTCGAGTCGGACCCGACTCACAGCGACCCCTCCTTGGGTTTCCGAGGCACTATCACTATGGAAGTGGATTGCCCCATCTTCCTTCCGAGGAGTGGCTGGTAGGTTTGAACCGCCAGCCTTCTGGTTAGCAGTTAAGTGCCTTAGGTGCTATACTACCAGAGCTCCCATAAGATACATGAAATATATAGTATGTATAATCACTTGTCAACCAAATATCCTCCTCCAATATAGTAAACATGAAATTTGCATCTGTTACTTATACCAAAAATTTATATATTTCTTAGAAGGAAGATTAGATGATTAATGTACCCAAAATATTGCATTGGTTCAAATACCTTTATTTATAATAACAATTCACTTTATATATAACCTATAAGCCATGGTTATATAGAAGCAAAAAATTGGGATGTGTAAATTTTTATATCTGACCATAATATGATGCATACTAATATTCATATACCTGCCTGATTAGACATTTAAATGTAGAAATAACAGTAAGTAACCCAGAAGTTCTACACCTAGGTACAGACCTAAAAGACTTGAAAGCAGAGACACAAACAGATACTTGTACCATAGTTGTAATTGCAGCATTATTCAAATAGCAAAAGCTGAAAACAATCCAAACATCCATCAACAGAAGAATTTATAAACAAAATGTGTGTGTACACACAATGGAATATTATTCAGTCTTAAAGAGAAATGAGTTTCTGATACACTCTACAAACTGGATGAACTTTGAAAACATTATGCTAAAAGAAGTAAGTCAGACATAAGAGGACAAATATTATAATCCCATTTATATGAAATATCTAGAATAGGCAAATACAGAGAGACCAAAATTATTAGTCGTTACCAGCAGTGGAAGGGAGAGGAAACAGGGGACTTACTGTTTAAGGGGCACTGAGTTTCTGTTAAGGATGATGAAAAAATTTGGAAATGGGTTGTGATGTTGGTTGCACAACATGGTAAATGTAATTAACGCCACTTGCGGTGTCCACATGAAATGACTGAAGTGGCAAATGTTGTCTTATATTTATTTTGTCAGAATAAATTTTTTTAAAAGAACGATAAGTACTAATTCTTCAAGTGTAATAGCAGTTAATATTGTATAGTTTATATATACGTATATTTCCACACACAAATATTCTGAATAATTTTCATATACCTTTGAGAATATGTCCATAGGCTTGAATGTCAAAGCTGCCACTAAGAGGTGCAGACGCTGCTTGAATTCTTTGAATACGAATCTGAGAGTCCCCTGGCCAATTATTTCCTCTGTAAACAGACTCATTCTCTGTCTCGTTTGTAATGATCTAATTTCCAAAATAAATATTGATAAAGTGAGTAAACTTGAAACTGGCTAATATAATTTCAATTTCACCATGGTACAAACCTGTGACATGACATAAATGAGCCTAAAGTATTGAGGATTCTTCAGAAAATTAAGGAGAGTCACATAAATCAACACAGACCATACCTCCATGGCTGTAATAATGAGGCCAAAGTCAACTCAGTCATCTGTGCAGCAATCAGCCCAAAACACAGCAAACCTCATTAATTCACAATGTAACCTCCCTTGCTCAAGGAATAAATATTCATAGAACAGACATTTGTTCAAGGTACAGTGATACTCACTGTGGGGAAGCAAAGAATGAGATATGTTCTCAGCTATCAACAAACTAAAAATCTTCTTGGAGAAAAAAATACATGGGGACTTGAAGACTGAAGAAAGGATATGTTCAGTAGAGTGGCACAGATTTGGGAAATACTTGTTTAACGTTGAGTGAATGCCAAACCAAACGATGGAAATAGAGAGTGCTGTAGAAATTCACCGGCTGTCAATTCTATGGTGAAGATTATATTCTCTTCCTTCTGGTACCTCACAGCTATCATTAATCTTGTAGAATTAAAAAAAATCCTAAGCCCTATATCCCATGAAAATGATAAAAACATGTTGTGTTTTTATTATTGTTATGTGCCGTTGAGTCAGACCTGACTCATAGCGACCCCTCCTTGGGTTTCCGAGGCAATATCACTACGGAAGTAGATTGCCCAATTTCTTCTGAGGAGTGGTTGGTGTGTTTGAACCGCCAGCCTTTTGGTCAGCAGTCAAATGCCTTAGGCACTACGCCACCATAAGTGACAAAAAATGTTCATATAAGTTTTATTCATAATAGCTCCAAACTGAAAACAATATAAAAATCCAACATAAATTGTATATTTATACCATGGATTTCTGTACATCAATGAAAAAGAATGAACTACAGCTATATGCAACAATATGAATCTCTGTTAAGGATGGTGGAAAATATCAGAAATGCATCGTGGTGAGACCTGAACAGCATGGTGAATATAATTAACGCCCTGAGCTTAAAAGAAGTGAGACACAAAAGAGTACACACTGTATAATTCCACTGATAAGAAGTTTAAACAGGCAAAACTAATCAGTGCTGATAGAAGTCACTGAGTTAGCAAAAGATTCTCTCTGTGGGACCCTTATATAACTATACTGATTATTACTTAATTTTTAATCTTAAGCCTTGTTTTTTATTTGTTGCAGGAAATTATGTTAACATGTTTATATTTTTACAGGAAATTAAACTTAAGATACTCATGATATTTGTAATATTTAATGAATTATTGATCTCAAAATAACTCACACAATATAAAAACTGTTCAGATACTTTTGGAATTATGGCAAACCACCTCTTTTCTTCTTTATAGCATATTTGGTATAAGTAAAAGTAAATGGTATTTTTAAGAGGAATAATTTAAAAACAATGCAGAATCTGAACTTTTCTTCAATAATTTCTGTTCAAGGATATTTGCTGAAAGAGTACACATTGTTTCTTTTGAGTTATGCGAGAAAACACTGATTAAATATGACTGACTATGTTTCTTAAGGATTTTTCCTCCTGTTCTCTTCTATATTTCTTGAATTTCTTCAAGTTGAAAAAGCCTCTAAATTTTCACTTATTCTCAGAATAATTATCCTGTCCTATTTTGACCCGCATGTCAGCCGTTTTTTAAAATTTTAAAGTTTGCCACATCGAAATCAATGCTCCCTAAGTTGCTCCGTTATTTTGAGCCTTACCTTCCCAAAGCTGGCAGCCATCATGGGGATATTACAGCTGCAGTTATGTGTAGTCATTATGACAGTATATTGGTTGGTCAGAGTTGATCCATTTATTTTGGTCTGATTCACCTGAAAGTGTTTTAAAAATATTCCTTTACTTGCTAAAGCTGGTAGTCTTCTCTTTGGCGTTTCTAAAGAACATGAATAAGCAAAGCAAATGGCAGATAAATTGCCTAACTTCTGCTGCGAAAAAGAAAAACATCAGCTGCTATCGATATATCATAAAATACGCTGTAGGAAAGCAGTTTGGAAATCTTAAACTTTCACTTCTAGAATATAAATCTTTAAAGTCTTTCAACATAAGAGCACCATCAACTCAAACGAAGTATTTAAAACCCACCAAGCCCTGGTTCTATCAAGCCTCCTGTGGGCCAGTTAGTTACCTTTGCTCTTTCCTGTTGTTGTTATGTGCCTTCGAGTTGGACTCGAATGATAGCGACCCCTCCTTGGGTTGCCGAGGCAGTATCACTATGGAAGTAGATTGCCCAACCTTCCTTCCGAGGAGTGGCTGGTGGGTTTGAATTGCCGGGCTTCTGGTTAGCAGTCAAATGCCTTAGGCACTACGCTACCAGAGCTCCTTGTTCTTTCCTAGTCCCTGAATATCATGCTCATTAGATTGTGTGCTCCATGAAGGCAGGGCCAGGACTGCCTTGTTTAGTGCTCTTTTTTTAGTACCTGATACAGTGCCTGAGACATGGTAGTTGCTGAATGAGTTATGTTTCACAATCTGTGTTATTCACTCTATCAGACTCCTGGTGTTTTACTAATGTGCCTATCAATCATAATACAAGTCTGGTGATGGCAGATGCAACAGATGTGACCAGCAACTAGTAATATTTAGTTTTTCTTACCAGTTGACTCAGGAGCTCTGGTAGCATAGTGACTAAGGCACTTGACTGCTCACCAGACAGCTGGCGGTTCAAACCCACCAGCCACTCCTCGGAAGGAAGGTTGGGCAATCCTACTTCCGTAGTGATACTGCCTCGGAAACCCAAGGAGGGGTCGCTATGAGTTGGGGCCGACTCGACAGCACATAACAACAACAACAACAACCAGTTGACTCATAACCTTACTCTAGATGATAATCCAAAGGAAAGGATTCCAAAAGTCCTCTGAAAGATGGGAGTGCTCACTTTTCAAGGTGACTACTTGGAGTAGGGAGGAGCACTGCTTGCACAGTGGTGAAGTGCTCAGTTGCTAAGTGAAAGGTCAGTGGTTTCTACTCCCCCGCCACTCAGCAGGAGAAAGATGTAGCGTTCTGTTCCTGTAAAGACACATAGCCTTGGGAACCCTATGGGTCAGTTCTACTCTGTCTATAGGGTTGCTATGAGCCAGAATTGATTTGACATTTTTTTTTTTTTAATTTAGAGTTAGGTTGATTTTTAAGAAGATTGTAGATGTTAGCATATATTATTTTATAATCATATCTTATACATGTATAAGTCTATTATCATGAGTAGGAAAACAATGCTGACAATTAAGTTTTTATTTATAACATTATAAATAATATTATTAGTTATCACTATGAGTTCTAAAGAAAGCTTCAGTTCAATTTTACTAAACAGATGTCTGTGTCAATAGTTACCTTTTAGATTTACCCAAATTACAATAAAAAAAATTTTTTGAAGCTACCGTTTAGAAATAGATCACTATCATGGTAGTTGATTTCTCAAAGATAAGCCAAAATGGAAATAGTGGTGACAGTTTATTTATCTCTCCTTAAACAGAATACAGGACTGTAAAGCTAATTCTTGCCATAATGAGAAAGTTTGCATTAAGGATGCATTTGTCTTTAGAATAGTCACCTTGCACGATTTATTTTTTTAAAAAAATTAAATCATAATATTTTATTGAAACAAAAGACTGACTCATTAATATCTAGATTCATATTTCTGTCTATACTACAGCATTTCAAAGTAATTTCCATGTTAAATTTTACTACAAGATAGAGTTAAAAAGCTTAAGTAGATACTAAATAAGACAAAATACCATGCAATGTTGAGATTGTAGATGCCTGTCCAATGTAAACTATGTCCACATAGAACGACTGTGATGGAGAGGCTTTCTGTAAAGTAATCCTTTGAAGAGAAAAATTAGTCCCAGCATATTTGGTTTGTACGAGGTCCAGAAGGTCTATGCAAGTGTAGGTCCAGCTGAAATACGATTGATTAAAATCAGGTGTATAGATAAGTTTAATACAAACAAATACACTGTTAAAAGCTTAAAGAGTAAAAGAAAATTTTCTCAAGGAGACCAACAAGCACGTTTTATTAGCACAGAAAAGCAGCCATAACAAGGTAGAGTGGGCAGAAACTGACTCTGGTAGCAAAAGGTTTCCCGTTGCCTACAAAGAGGTCTCCTATTGCCCACAAACATAAGTTTTCTTGTAGTCTTGGCAGTAGCCACAAAAATGTAAAATAACGTTCTGTAGCAGCACATAAAAGAACCAAGGAGCACTAACCTTGGTGTAGAGCACATTAAAAAAAGAGACACAAAACTGGAGTTAACTATTCTAGTGCAAAATGTCAGGAATAGAACAGTAAATTCAGTCCTATACTAAGAAGCAAAACCTTGATATTACTTCCAAAAGAGCTCACTGGAGTAGCACTGTCGACTATTCTAAATGACAAAAAAAGGTGCTAAGTAAAGTTATTTACAGATACAGATGATTGCACTGTACCTCTTAAATCTGTCATTTAGATTCAGAGTTTCCATTTACTATTAACTGCACTGGAATCTTATAATCCAACAATTCAGCTATGGGAATTTGCAACAAAGGGATAAATACTTTAATATAAAGGTTTATTTAAAAAACCTTTAATAAACAAGGCTATCCCTCCAGTCCAACATATGACAATGAATTATGGAGCATAAACAAGTTTAAAGATACGGAGTGACAGCTGACTCCTGGATTTTGAGAAGAGTGTTGCATGGTGGAGAAACCGGAAAGTTTGCAATTTCAGAAGTGGGAAACAGCTTGCCTAACCCAATCTTCATCCAGAAACTAATTCCTCCACTAAGACTGTTCTTTCTTCCAATCCAATCATCTAATCTCCCTTATTATCTTGCTTGTTTTTATTTCTTGCTTTTGCTTTGTTTATAGTTAGCATTTGGTTCTATTTCCACCTTTGGGTCATTTCTGCTCCCTCTGTCTGGGGAGTAAGGGAAAGGCACTGATTCTATCTCACACTTGCTCCATACTTGGTAGTTTTATCAGACTCCCATCCTTATCATGAGAATAGAATAGTGCCCTCCATACATCATAAGATAAGGCAAACTTAAAACATGTATATAAATGTGGGAGCTCTGGTGGTGCAGCACTTCAGACATTTCACTGCTAACCCAAAGGTTGGCGGTTCAAACCTAACAGCTGCTTCACAGGAGAAAGATGAGGCAGTTGTGGAGTCAGAATCAATTTGATGGCACACAACAACAACAAAGTACAATACAAACTGTATACCCAAAAAACCAAACTCACTGCCATCGAGTCAATTCTGACTCATAGTGACCCCATTGGGTTTCCAAGGCAGTAAATCTTTATGGAAGTAGATTGCCCCAACTTCCTTCTGCAGAGCAGCTGGTGGGTTTAATTTAGCTATGACAGGAAAAAAATATTAGCAATTATTTCGAGATTTGAAAATCATACCACAGGTCCTTTTAAGATACAAACTTTATATAAACAATCTAAAATTGTGTAGAGGAAATGGTACATATCTTGATTAGGGTGATGGTCACATGATTGTTTATTTGTTAAACTGCATTTAAAACATAAATTTTACTGTATAAAAATTATACCTCAATAAATAGGACTTTAAAAGGAGCCCTGGTGGCACAGAAATTAAGTCCTCGGCTGCTAACAAAAACGTCAGCAGTTTGAACCCACTAGCTGCTCCATCGGAGCTCTGGTAGCATAGTGCCTAAGGCACTTGACTGCTAACCAGAAGGCTGGCGGTTCAAACCCACCAGCCACTCCTCGGAAGGAAGGTTGGGC